TTTTACAACGTAATACTCTGAAATATTACAAAAATCGTAAATCTACGGAATATTACGCCACATTTAAATTCCAGATGCAGATATAGATAAGTTTATTTTGTTAGAAGCAAAGGGAGTCATTGATTTAGAAAAATTGGAAGATGAGTATAATATTGAGGATGAAATGTGCAGAGAGGAAGAATTGCCCTTGTATTAATACTAATATAGAGTAATTTTATAAGGAAAAAAATCCAAAGGTCAAAAAAAAAAAAACTTCAAAATTAATAAAAAAGTCTGATGTTATTTTGTGAACACTAATTATAATTGTGAGTATTATTTTATAGGAAAAAACTTTGAAGAAAAAAAAGTTTTGAAGATAAAACTTTGAAAAAAACTTTTGAAGAAAACGGAACTTCAAAAAAAAGAGAAACTCTAAAACTTTTACTATATTATTGTATTTACTAACAAAGTTTAAAAAAGAAAGTAATATTTATTAACAGAAACTATAAAAAAAAACTTCAAATAAGAAATTTTCTCCTTCCATATTTATATTTGCTAACAAATATTTATTGAAATTAGAACTTCACATAATATAGAAGTCTATCGCTACATCTAAAGATCATTATAGTGGTTTGGGAAAATAAACTATGCGCGTTATGTAAGTATTTTATTTATTATTATTCACGTGACTTATTCAATCTTCTGACGTGCTCCGCTGATCAATTAGTCACGTGATCGAATGCGGCTTTAACCCACCCCTATTTAAGGAAAATTAACGTAAATCTGATCATTGCTATCTTTTTTTTTTAACAAAATGATATCGAGAATTCTATTGAAATGTTGAATTTTTTATATTATAATAATCAATAAAATTGAAATTTTATATTTTTACTATATAAAAAATTTTTTTTTCATATTTTGCATTTTTAGTAATTTTAAAATGCATAATTTTTAATTTTGCAAGAGATAATGTGACCATTAGGTATAATACACTGCAGTTTGTCATATGTGATATAAGTGTGTTACTTATAAAATAAGAATCAGATTATTTTATGATAACTTCTCACGTCACAGTCGTCACATGATTTTAACGTCTATAATACCTTGAGCATATTCTATCTATTTGCTTTATTTTTTTTAGAAAGTAGAAGTGAATACGCTTAAAGGAAGAGAAGAAATTACTATTGCTAAGTTAACCCAAACCGATGCCTGTTTGGAAAAGATTGAAAAGGTTGTTATACTACTTTTGAATCAGAAAGTTTGAATTTATGCACAGAAACTATAGATAAAAAAATTATGTGCGCGTGATAAATTTTCTATGCAAAGGGTAAAAATTTATTATTTATTTTTCAGATACATAGCTAATCAGAAAATAAGCAAATGAAATGTTTGATGCTATCAAAGAGAGAGGGAATACGCAGATCACATTGATATGTTTCAAGAAGCTAACCAAATAATAAGCCAAATTACCTTATTATTATTTTGTGAAATATACTCATTTATTTAATATTAACAATGTAAATATTGGTAAATTTAATTATATTTTATAAGTTCACTTGATTTTTACTTATATTTGCACAAAGCAGATAAAAGGGTTAACTAACTGTCTTGTCTTCTTTTTATAAAATTTGTAGCAGTCCAAGAATTGAATTTGGAATGAATCTTCAGGGAATTATGATTGTATCACAGAAAATCAGATCAACAGATTCGCTCAAAAACACAATAAAAAGCCTTGATCATTGACCATATGGGATCATACCCTTTAGATCAACAAAGGGATCTTCTTTTTATTATTATTATATGAGTATCTGCGGGAAAGTTCGAGAATACTACGTGTCTACAAGATGTTATGGTTAGTTTTTTCTTATATCACACAGCAATCATCTCAGCAATAATTTTCCCAAATATTATACTGCGCATTTATTAGGATACAAATACAAATCCCTTAATTCCTACAACTATACTATGCGGAATATTATCATGTAAATATATTGTGCTTAATACACCTTTGCTTTATTGATTGTAAATAAAAAGTACATATTGGATCTTATATCATGATACAGATTCGCTTGATACAATGATTCATGATATATGATAAAGTCTTATTACGTCTATTCTATTCACCTCCCGATACTTGTTATGTTTATTGTACCAACATCCTAACCTAATAATCCATTTCATTTGTTTGCATTTGTAATTAGTAACGAGATCTTTGGAATAGAAACTAGGTATTAGTCCTGATGACAAAAAAAAAGTGCTAAATCTCATGTCACACAGTTCTATCCTCTTGATCGAAAAAAATCTCTAATCTGATAATTTTAACCAAGCTGTATAGCATTTTTCTGATATCATACTGCGTATTTCAGGTGATCAATCTCATATGATGGAGTTTCTATGCTACAATCGTCACAAATCATGAAATAAATATGGTAACTCTGCTAAAAAAAATAGACCTATATGATAATTCAGTCTACAATCTATCTAATAATTCTTCTAATCAGATACTAGAGATATGATAGGACTCATCATTGGTGAGATTTTCCTTTCACATTTTCTATCATGATAATAATAATTGAATCATTCATTCCTTCTTCTTTCTTAAAGTAACCTGTAATATCTGATATATTACTAAAATTATCATCTGAATCATAAACTGAAGTAGTAGTTACTATCTCAAAGATTTTTTTCACAGGACTAGTGGTTGTTTTCAATTTGACTTGTTCTATGATGTATTCGATTTGAGGATTAGTAAGCCTTAAAATTTTATCAGCACTATAGGTGACCTGTTAAACCATATATTCCAGTATACTTTTAATCTTTTTCAGAGTTATAGGATCATATTTATACCCAAATAACCTATTGATTTTTCTCACTTTACAGGTCATTACTTGTAAGTATCCAATTGAAACATCTGCGAGATATGGCTTCATTTCATTATAGATCTGCTTTCTTGCAGTCTGATCCGTAAGTTTCTTATCATTAGACCTAAGTTCTGTAACTTATCTTCGAACCTTTCAGAGAATAAACACTATCATGTAATCTCTGATCATTTTGCTATGATCATTTTATTTCTTGCAACATTCGTCTGGCAGAATGAATTAGCAAGTTTTTTAATACTTATTGATCCAGAAATTATAGTTTTTGAAGAAGAAAACTTTATAGTCTGAAGTGGATCGTCAAATGAGAATAGCTCTTTTAACAAATCTTATACAAATTCGGTTATTATACTCAAGGAAGCCTGAATATTTCATTATTCTTGATCGATAGGATGTGATTGATCCCTTTGGAATACCCCTAGTAAGCTATCAGAAGAATTTTCTTTTTTCGATCTTTCTGCCTCTAGATTTCTATTTATCTCCGGGCAGATGTTGGGAGGAGTATTGGTAATTTCTTCCTTTTGTTTTTGTCTCTCAAGTGATGATTTTGAATTTTCAGAAAACCTCTTAACTTTGTTAAGAGTTTTGTATCACATGATAATTTAGAATTTTCAGGATATATATTAACGGGTTTTATATCATGTATCACTTCTGAATCTATTGTGAGAATTTCTTTCTTAGAAGTATCTGCAATGACTGATTGAAAAGTAACAACCACAGTTTCTAATATATAATCAGTATCAGAGATGCTATTCTGGTTAGCTAATTCACGCTGAAATTTCTTCTTCCTATTATATTGCCTAATCTCATTACTAACCTTTTTTTATGCATCTCATCTAAGAAAGCATCTGTTTCCTTGTCTTCAGATAATAAAGTATCTACCAATAGTTTCTCGTGATGTGTTACTATGGATACCTGATCTGCAACCAAATATTAGTTAGATGAACTGATGTTAGAAGAATTATGTGAAGCATTTCTTGACTCATTTAGAGTCTGCTTCTGTTTCATTTTCATGATTCTATCTCTAAATTCAGCATTTTCAGACAAGCCAGCTTGTTTAGTGATAACTGTCTTATTTTTCTCTAGTTTCTCGATTCTGGCCTTAAGTTTAGCATTTTCAACATCGTGTCTTTTACTCTCTTCTACAGCCTGTCTTAGAAGCTCAGCAATCCTGGCCTTAAGCTTAGCTTTCTCAATCTCAGAATTAGTTTTCTCAATCTCAAAATCAGCAAACTTCCTTCTAAGTGAGACATTCTCAGCATTCAAAATAAAAAATCATGTGATTTCCCTTACCCAAGGTAAATGAAATTTTGCCAAGAAAAATTTTATTATTACAATGCGAAAATAAATACATAGATCAGGACATAGTCAGCGATACATATTATCAGAAAGACGTATTATTACTATAGCACTAGTCGAAATAATTTTTTTTTAAATTGTTAATGATGCAGTCTAGCTGCAGTACTTTATTTTGTATTGAAAATTTGAAGACAAAACCTAAAAAATGCTAAAATATGCAACTTACTCCCGTGGTTCTATTTCAAACTCGTTTGAGTCGACTGATCACTGCTACCCCCTGAAAGGGGTGGTAATAAAGTGTCAAAAAGCATCTAATTTCTAAATGTCCGTCGAACCCTAACTTCCCTCAAAAGAAAATTCTAACACTA